ACACACACACACACACACACACACACACACACACACACACACACACACACACACACACACAGACAATACTGTAGGAGATAGCAGCAACAACAACAACTGCAATATCTACTCAAAGCAAATAGCAGTCATCTATGAGCTATTAAGGTACTAGTAGCAAAATTAATAAGTACTAGTATTTCATGAATAATGATGAATATGTACTGTATCTTATGAATATTAAATTGTGAAGCTGAAAAATATACTAAGCACTATTCAATTACTTACTAAATATGAAATACTAGTAACATGCCAACAAATACTAGCTGGCTAGTTAGTCATAAATGAAACTGATGTCACGCCATGCAGTGAGATGATGAGACTGTGGAAATATTTACTGCATGGTATACACTGTCAGTCTGATTTGAAATTCTGCTTTTACAACTCATAGTGTGTGCATGCATTGAGATGTGGCATGCACCAATGAATGGAAATATGTGGCCAGACATCCCTTCCTATGCAATTGAAGGAGTTAAAGACTAAATGGATCCTGGAGAAATTTTAGTGGGTCAAATTTACCACTGAAAGCATAGCTAGAGTAACTGTTTTTGCTCAAATGTGGGCATGACATAACCCAGGATGAGCTATTAATGGGATTACCACCTCACCATAGTACCAGGTTTTGTTTTTCTGTGGAATAGGGGTGTGTTGTTAGCTGACATACTAGTCTGCATCCATTCTAGCTCAGGCTGGCTCTACTCACCCAGATTCACCCCGAAGTCCCGGTTCACTTGAGTCCGGAATCGGTCCATTTGTGTGTTTCGTTTAGAGTCCGGGTACCAGAGCACCTTCGACTCCATAATCTCCTCGCTCTTGGCCTCCGTGTCTTTAGACATGATCAGATGACACGAGTCGGTATGTCGTGAGTAACCTATGAAGACTGCAAGAAACGCACTACGGGAGTTAAACGGGCCGATCCGGTGATCGTGTATCGGTGCAGCTGAGCTCAGACGCATGGGTCACTTCCGAGCGTCAGCCGCGCATAATCAACCAGCGGCGGAAGCCCCGCCCACCGCGCAACCGCACACCGCCCTGCCAACCTCCATATGTTCTTCCGCCTTTTATGTAGTGCCAGGTTTTCCCACAAATGTATGTTTTTATTGAATAAATATATAGATTTTTCGGAAGTTAATGGACCAGCATTTGCATTTGTTGGCTGGCACATTCATGGTGGACGGTCTAACTGTTTTATCTAGATAGCAATGAAAAGGAAATCCGACCTATTTCTGCCAATCGGTTCTTCTGAAGAGCTCATTTCAGAGAAGGACATTATTAATAATCATCATAACGTCATGTATTCACACCTGACATTCTCTTAAAAGTTTGAATAAACCTAGAGTGCATCTCAATAAATTACAATGTCGTGGAAACGTTCATTTATTTCAGTCAAATTGTGAAACTCGTGTATTAAATAAATTCAATGCACACAGACTGAAGTAGTTTAAGTCTTTGGTTCTTTTAATTGTGATGATTTTGGCTCACATTTAACAAAAACCCACCAATTCACTATCTCAACAAATTAGAATATGGTGACATGCCAATCAGCTAATCAACTCAAAACACCTGCAAAGGTTTCCTGAGCCTTCAAAATGGTCTCTCAGTTGTGTTCACTAGGCTACACAATCATGGGGAAGAATGCTGATCTGACAGTTGTTCAGAAGACAATCATTGACACCCTTCACAAGGAGCCACAAACATTCATTGCCAAAGAAGCGGGCTGTTCACAGAGTGCTGTATCCAAGCATGTTAACAAAGTTGAGTGGAAGGAAAAAGTGCACATAATAATATACTGCGTTTTTAAAACTCCTTTAAAGGGCAATAAGGTTTGTTTGTAATACAATTTGACCCAGTTCTCTTTATTGCATAAATTATTCAGCTCATTAAAAACAAAATAATAAACACGTAAAAGCATAAATAAAATACTCTAAACTTTTGTTTTTGGTACACTACAACGTTCATACGATATATATCGTATATGTGACCCTGGACCACAAAACCAGTCATAAGGATTTTTTGAGATACAACACCCGAGATACAACTATTTGAAAATCTGGAATCTGAGGGTGCAAAAAAATCTGAATATTGAGAAAATCGCCTTTAAAGTTGTCCAAATGAAGATCTCAGCAATGCATATTCCTAATCAAACATTACTTTTTATATATTTACGGTAGACAATTTACAAAATATCTTCATGGAACACGATCTTTACTTAATATCCTAATGATTTTTGGCAAAAAAGAAAAATCGATCATTTTGACCCATACAATGTATTGTTGGCTATTGCTACAAATATCCCCCAGAGACTTAACACTGCTTTTGTGCTCCAGGGTCACGCATAGGGTTTATAAGCTCATTCGACAGCTCTCAACCCAATATGAGTCGAATCTGTTCAGGAAGAACTGTTATCGGTTCAGTGAGTCACCGAACGAATCTTTCAGAACGGTGTTTGTGAACCGATTCTTCGTTTGATTGAAAAGAGTCGGCTCAAAAGAACGATTTGTTCACGGATGGAGCATCAGTTATCTATTTATAAACTTCATAAACTGAAACGATTAAGTGATGCCAACTAATAAGGGTGCTAGAATAAAGTCTCAATTTCAGTTTGGAACAGGTATTTTGAACTTCAGACTGCATTTATCGTGATTACACTCTATTTAATAAAACATATAAGGATAGAATTTAGAACAATTAAAAGTAACATTCAAGAGCCTCTAAAAGTGTTACATAGATTCTTGTTTACGTAGAATACTGTATATAATACTTGCTCTTGACCACTACCATTTAAAGGGTCTTGGATAAAGCATTACTGTTAGGCTTTGGCGGAAGAATATCTGACTGATTAGCATGTCTTTTATTCTATTGGTTCCTAAAGCTGGTCTCACATCAGCCGAGACCGCAGCACGAGAGAAAGCAACATGGACAGACGGAAAGGCGAACCAATCACAAGTCAGACATCCGTTCTGCCTGAAGCGCCCAGCCAATAGAAAAAGGGATAATTTAGAGGTGTGCCCAATCCCGAGCCTGCAGCCTGTAACATGATCGGATGGGAAAACATAGGTTAACATGTGAAAGGTGGCTCTGTGCTAAATGTTCCATGCATTTTGTTTGAATGTATGCAGGTGATTTGTGTTGTCTAAACATTAGAGTACCAGAGAGGGGTACTGGATTGTATATAAAGAGCTGCTGAATAATTTTGCAGAGTCAGCAGCAGTGATTTCCAAGGCCAATTTCATCAATATTTATAAAACATTTAGCAAATAGGAGTTGCTTCATAGATTTGCCATGTAAACTTGGCCGATTTACATTTAGATGCAACAAAAAGAAAAGACAAAAAGCATCCATGCTGCTTGTTGGTGATGAAACAAAGGCCCATTTCACTGAAATATGCTAGCATCAAACGTGCACAAATGGGAATCTACAATAAACTGTACTTTAAGTACAATACTAAAACGTAATTTCAGTTCTTTGCACTTGCATCCCGAGGTCTTTACTGGCATAATCTTCACAGATCCAGTGTATCTGTAGGCCTATGCATTTACATAAACACAAATGTGAGGAATAAAGAAAAGAAAAAGGAAATCTGTCTGTCTCAGTAAGACTGATATGAATTCCACAAGGGTTAGTGCTAAAAATGTGCTTTTATAAAAGGAGTGGGAATGGGGTCATGTCTGCCCCCCTCTGGGCACAACAAATAAAAAAGCAACAATGCACAATATTATATACAAGCCAAATATGAATGTCTTAAAGGCACAGTGTTCCTTCAGAATGTTACATATTATGTAAGTCATTTTAGACAGCATTTGGATCAGCCCTCACAGGGATACAAGAGATGCAGACGTGTTTGCAAGAGAATCCCAAGAGTATCTATGACAAAATAGAGAAGAAGAAGAGGGGAAAACACTAGCAGGGGTGCCCAAACTCGGTCCTGGAGGGCCGGTGTCCTGCAGAGTGTAGCTCCAGCTTGCCTCAACTGCTAAACTGCAGTTGAGGAGCTAAACTGGACCGAGTTTGGGCACCCCTGCACTACATGGAGGTGATTTTAGACACACAGTATGTTAAACTGTATGAGGATAGCAAATATCAAATGCCAAGTGTAGCTAATGTCACTAGTTTTCACCTCTGGGTTATCAGAAAAGTTGTGCTGTCGGCATTATATAATGTTCATTTCATTTGTGCAATGATCTGTTGGATCAACTTCAGCACTACTGATTATATCACAAACCATTTTTGCAGGGCAAACATACCATTTGCTCAATCTTCACAAGCACCTTTAGGATGCTAAGCTCATCCATTTGCTTAGCTGTGTGTCAGACCAGATTCGTGATTTAACGCTTTACAGACAGACACTGACTAGAGCCGTAGAGAGTTCATCGGACGGAGGCCATTTGAAGAGACGAATGAAGCAATGTTCAAACAAGTGTCTGTTGCGTCACGTACAACATCCTATGTCCAAATTATGAGGTGAAGCAACTAAACGTTCAAAAAACTTAAACTGCAGTGTGAGCCAGGGTCAGAAATTAACTTCTTGTCCCCTGGAATTGATTTCCAGGGGTATTATTTTAGATTCGCGAGGGCAATTTTTAATTTAAACTTAAATTTAACCAAGTTTGGAACAGTTATTTTGAACTTCAGACTGCATTTATCGTGATTACACTCTATTTAATAAAACATATAAGGATAGAATTTAGAACAATTAAAAGTAACATTCAAGAGCCTCTAAAAGTGTTACATAGATTCTTGTTTACGTAGAATACTGTATATAATACTTGCTCTTGACCACTACCATTTAAAGGGTCTTGGATAAAGCATTACTGTTAGGCTTTGGCGGAAGAATATCTGACTGATTAGCATGTCTTTTATTCTATTGGTTCCTAAAGCTGGTCTCACATCAGCCGAGACCGCAGCACGAGAGAAAGCAACATGGACAGACGGAAAGGCGAACCAATCACAAGTCAGACATCCGTTCTGCCTGAAGCGCCCAGCCAATAGAAAAAGGGATAATTTAGAGGTGTGCCCAATCCCGAGCCTGCAGCCTGTAACATGATCGGATGGGAAAACATAGGTTAACATGTGAAAGGTGGCTCTGTGCTAAATGTTCCATGCATTTTGTTTGAATGTATGCAGGTGATTTGTGTTGTCTAAACATTAGAGTACCAGAGAGGGGTACTGGATTGTATATAAAGAGCTGCTGAATAATTTTGCAGAGTCAGCAGCAGTGATTTCCAAGGCCAATTTCATCAATATTTATAAAACATTTAGCAAATAGGAGTTGCTTCATAGATTTGCCATGTAAACTTGGCCGATTTACATTTAGATGCAACAAAAAGAAAAGACAAAAAGCATCCATGCTGCTTGTTGGTGATGAAACAAAGGCCCATTTCACTGAAATATGCTAGCATCAAACGTGCACAAATGGGAATCTACAATAAACTGTACTTTAAGTACAATACTAAAACGTAATTTCAGTTCTTTGCACTTGCATCCCGAGGTCTTTACTGGCATAATCTTCACAGATCCAGTGTATCTGTAGGCCTATGCATTTACATAAACACAAATGTGAGGAATAAAGAAAAGAAAAAGGAAATCTGTCTGTCTCAGTAAGACTGATATGAATTCCACAAGGGTTAGTGCTAAAAATGTGCTTTTATAAAAGGAGTGGGAATGGGGTCATGTCTGCCCCCCTCTGGGCACAACAAATAAAAAAGCAACAATGCACAATATTATATACAAGCCAAATATGAATGTCTTAAAGGCACAGTGTTCCTTCAGAATGTTACATATTATGTAAGTCATTTTAGACAGCATTTGGATCAGCCCTCACAGGGATACAAGAGATGCAGACGTGTTTGCAAGAGAATCCCAAGAGTATCTATGACAAAATAGAGAAGAAGAAGAGGGGAAAACACTAGCAGGGGTGCCCAAACTCGGTCCTGGAGGGCCGGTGTCCTGCAGAGTTTAGCTCCAGCTTGCCTCAACTGCTAAACTGCAGTTGAGGAGCTAAACTGGACCGAGTTTGGGCACCCCTGCACTACATGGAGGTGATTTTAGACACACAGTATGTTAAACTGTATGAGGATAGCAAATATCAAATGCCAAGTGCAGCTAATGTCACTAGTTTTCACCTCGGGGTTATCAGAAAAGTTGTGCTGTCAGCATTATATAATGTTCATTTCATTTGTGCAATGATCTGTTGGATCAACTTCAGCACTACTGATTATATCACAAACCATTTTTGCAGGGCAAACATACCATTTGCTCAGTCTTCACAAGCACCTTTAGGATGCTAAGGTCATCCATTTGCTTAGCTGTGTGTCAGACCAGATTCGTGATTTAACGCTTTACAGACAGACACTGACTAGAGCCGTAGAGAGTTCATCGGACGGAGGCCATTTGAAGAGACGAATGAAGCAATGTTCAAACAAGTGTCTGTTGCGTCACGTACAACATCCTATGTCCAAATTATGAGGTGAAGCAACTAAACGTTCAAAAAACTTAAACTGCAGTGTGAGCCAGGGTCAGAAATTAACTTCTTGTCCCCTGGAATTGATTTCCAGGGGTATTATTTTAGATTCGCGAGGGCAATTTTTAATTTAAACTTAAATTTAACCAATTGCTTCAATCAATCAAAATACTTTTTAACAGTCAGTTAAATTGATCACGTTTCTTCTCACCAAACTGGAGCACCATTATCTCACTGCCAGGAATGACATGCTGCTTGCAGCTCTTATTCATGGTATAAAACTGAGCTGAGTGTATAGATCTTGCTACACTTGTTTACCACTAATCGGAGGTTTCACTACTAAGAACAAGTTTCATAAAGACAAAAATATGTTACAGACAGCGCAAATAATACCACAGCAAGCGACATCGCAGGTGAACACTCCTGATGAAAATTACACAGTACAAAGCAACCCTGATGTAGAAACCTAGGCATTCACTACGCAAAAATACCAGTTAAGGTCTAGACTTCACAAAGATTCAGTGCTTTCTAATGCAAAACAGTCAATGATGCAAAATCCTCAACACACAATAATTGGCACTGGTGCAGTCAACTGGGATCTATGAGACAATGTGAGAGTGAACTGTCTTTGCAGTTAAATCAGTACAACTCCCTTATCTATAATGTAACCGACATGAATAAAATGCATAATATTCCACAAATAAATTAAGGACTCGACGCGTTACTGCAACTTACAGGAATGAAATTAACTGCTAAACAGTGCGGGTAGGAAAACACCTGTCATACATATTTCTATACAAGCAAACTCAGCACATTCACTCCGCATGGAGTACACTTGAAATCACAGCTAATGATAAAACGGTCATAAGATCCAGAGCATTTTCCATGGTAGGTATATTACTGTGGCTTCTCATTCATTACAGATATGCAAATACACAAGACAATTTTAAATACAGGAGTGTTTGCTGAGACATGTATATGTGTAATTATTATTAGTTGTCTCCAGTACTTGTACAATAATGCTGGTACATTGCAAGTACACAAGAGTTTGCTATTTGGAGATTCCTCAAGGCTGGTGCTTATATGATTTCCTTCACACATTCATACAGTACAAAATGGGCCTTCTTGATATTAGTGCATTCCAGTAGGCTTGAGTTACAGTACGTCACAGCATTGAACTGTGATTGGTGGAAGGGTGAGGGACAGTTTCTGGACTAAAATCAGAGAAGTGCAGGAAGAGTGGTCAATATTTTTGGCTCCTTGAAGAGAAAGACTGTACATTTTGAACATGTATCTGCTAAAAGTGAATTTCATCAATGTCTAAAAACAGTATAGAATGGCATCGACACTGACAGGAAGACTAAACGCCACAAAACTCTCACTTTGAATGAATGACGTCTTTAAAATAACTGGCTGGAGACAAACATAACATAAAAAATTATAATTTAGTAGCAGAAATCACCTAAAATAAAACAAATGCATAAACACCGATTTCACAGTAAACACAACCTTTTACAATATGACGCACAACAAAAATGTTCCCAGTATAAAAAAAAACAACTACTTCCAATGTACACTACTGTTCAAAAGTACGTGGCCCGTAAACATTTTTCATTTTAAAACAACTGTTTTCTATTGTATTATATTTTAAAATGTAATTTATCCATGTGATGGCTGAGTGTCACATGATCCTTCAGAAATCATTCATATATTCTGTTTTGTGCTCAAAAAAACATTTCTTCTTATAATCAAAGTTGAAAACAGTTGTGCTGCTTAATATTTTTGTGAAAACCATGATACATTTTTTCAGGATTCTTTAATGAACTGCAAGCTTAAAATTATGAAAAATGTAATACATATTGGCTGAATAACAATATTAATGTCATTTAAAAAAATCTTACTGACTCGAAACTTTTCAACAGTAGTTTTAAATACAGCAGTACTAATCATGTAAAAAAAAAAACTAAATAATAATGGCATTTTATGGAATGAAAATATACTTGAAACACTGACCATTCATAATATTTCTCTTAAAATGTAAAAACATATATAAAAATTTTAAATTACAGTATTTTTTAAATCTATGAAGCAGGGAATAAATGTTCGAAATATATTTTTAAAAACATGCAAATTAGCTTTGGCTACAACGGTTTAGCAAAGTTGCAAAAACATGACGAATTGAAAACCAAAAAGTGGAATGAAAGTTAAAACTGCAAAAAGAATAAGTTAGATTAGTTATCAGGCATTTCAAATAGACAAAATAGCACTGTGGATCAAACCATAGAGGCCACTTTCTTAAAACGATTTTAAAGCAGCACTAATAGGTAGTGGGATTAAAACAATATTTAATCAATCCCTTTCTAGACGCGTATTAAAATGGTACATATAATTAATACAATGATCTCATGCTGAGAACAAAGTGCATGACCAGGTATTACCCTGAATGTACTTATCTGAAGCACATGAGAACATCTCGCTCTTGGCTCAAGTTAAACAGAGATACTGGTATACATTGCAGCACTGTTATTTTGCTGCCAGGAACACTGGTCTGATATCCTCACGCTTTCTGATGACTAGCTGCTTTCCGAAAGCGATTTCCACATACATCTCTATCCCTGATCGGTCCTGAACTCAGAGTGACCTCAAGAAGAGACAAGGGAGAGATGAAAAAAAAACAAAAATGCAGTGATACTGACTATTCTTCACACTTTGAGTGTTTCCGAATCAACTCTCAATCGCATTGCCTTCATGATTGATAAATAACACACACTTATATAAACTGCCCTAACTCTGCGCAATGGACTAACACACTCAACTCAAGGCTTGCAGACACACACAAACCCACAGTATACAAAAAAGTCCTGATATTTACTCAAAAATGGTGCGGCTACAGTAGAAGTGGACACTAACAATACATTCCACAACAATAGGGTGCATCTAATAGACTCTTTTCAGCATATCAACTGGGGGATTTATGTCACATACAATTCTTGCCTGACTAAAATTGGGACATCCTGAGAAAAAGAAACCAAAACTATTTTTTCTTCTCATCCCATCTCACAAACCCCAGCTCTGACCCTCAGCCTGGGGCTGAAAATCATTTCATTGGTCACTGGAGCGCTCTAGGTTTTCAATCACTCGGCTCAAGCGGATGTTAAGGAGGCGGATCTGGGTATCAAGGTGGTCGATCTTCTCCTCCAGAGTTCCAGGTCCACCCCCTTTCCGCCAGTATGCTCCCAGCGGTCCCGTCATGAAGTACACGGCCATGATGAAGCACAGCGGCAGCACCGCTTTCTCCGGGTCGCCCTCGAATTTCTGCAGAATGTACAGGCAGGAGAGGGCAAAAAGGGCCACGCGGGCCAGCCAGAAGAAACGGCCAAACACTGCGTGGAGGATGTAAAAGAAACCGCTCAGGAACAAGGACAGGAACCAGTAAGCCACCAGCAAGGCTGCCACCAGGAGGAGTGCGCGAGCAGGAGAACTGGACACAGACGATGGGCTGAAGTAGTGCGTCAGGTTAGAGGCTGAGGAGAGAGAGAGAGGGGGAAAAATAAAACAGAGACAGACGGAAATAGAAGCAAAGAGAGGGAAGGGAGAGATATGAAGGAGGTTTTAAGGACATGATTTTTTGCATCACACACAAACAGTGAAGATGTGCTATTTCAGTCACTGACATACATAACTGCAGCATTTCTGAGCCAGACTTACAGTCGATGCCCATTACATCGAGCAGATCCACCCACAGCTTCCACAAGGTGTCCAATAATGAATCGACTCCATGAACAAACTTCTCCGTAGTTTTTGAGAAGAACTGCAAAACATTGACAAAGGTTTTTTAATAAATTAAGACTGGAAAAAAAGTTATATATAGTGTAAATATTATAAAACACGCAAAGGTCACAGAAGAAAATCACCCGACTACCTATAAATTTAATCTAAATTAAATTAAATATAAATTAAAACAGATTATTTTTTAGATTACACTGCATTGTGACATTACTTTCATGACAATTAAGCATATCCCTTTTTTACATTTAGTATAATGTGTGGCATTTTATTTATTTATTTATTATTTTCAAGTGACGATTCATTTAAAGCGATCTTTTAATCTATTGCATTAAAAATATTGTTATAATACAAGGTTAACAACAACAACAAGTGTCAGTGTGTCTGTAGTAGTTTTTAAACGTGCTTTATAAATAAATTGAGACTTGAGACAGTGTTAGTAATAATAACAATAATAATAATTTGCTTTACAGTAATAAGAATGAGATCTTTTCCATTATGGCAAAGATAGATTTTCTCATAACATATAGCCTAGTACAGTACAGTACAAAAGCCCATTAATGCACATTCAAATATTTAGCTAAATTAATTAAAATAGCACACACCCATATATTATATATATATATATAAAACAAGTAAATAAATTATTGAAAATTAATAGTCAAAAATTATTTTTGAGGGCATTTAATGTGCATAATTAATAGACTAATAATTAATGAAATTATTGTTACAATCATATTTTAATTATACAATATAAATCACGCATTTACTGAAGTTATTATTATAAAGCGTTACCGATAAAAGTCCGAAATAGTGGCAGCACTAGTGACCGAGACTAACAGAAAGACGCTCATCTACAGCACGCTGTCTAGGTAGGCAGCACACTAGATTTTGAAACACAGCCATTGACAGCTGCTGATCTCTTCGGGCCTTAAACCAGTGCACCTGCAAACAAAACTACATTTTTAAACTGCATGAAAATTCCGCACGATCTTCTATGGACCTTGTACAGAGCCCTGATGTTCTCCTCTCCGAAGATACTGCCGAGGGTTTGGTAGAAGCCACTGGCCGCCCTCCTGAAGCTGTTCTGGCTGCTGGAGTCTTTCCTGCTTCGCGCCGCCTCAGTCAGGAGGACCAAGGCCAAACACACGCTCAAAACCACGGCCAATTTCGCTCCCTTCATCCTCGTAGGCGACCTGACAACCGGTGATGTGCAGTGGAGAAACTTCTGGATGGCAGCGGTCGAATAGAGCTCACAATACACTGAATAAAGAGGTGTGATGTGCCGGAAGAAGCTGCGCGCGACTAGAGAGCGAACTGCAACAGTGAACGGTACCGGAAGTCTGAAAATATTTTAAAATAAAAGTTCTTAAAATTGGCCTAATTATAGTTTTGCAACCATGGTTTAAAATGTAAAACACTGTTTTTGGCTAAGGCTAATACCCAGAATTGAAGATTAAAAGGTACAGATAAATAAATAAAATTAAACAATAAAACTAAAAGCTTCATAAAACAAGGAATGCAGAAAAGGAGACTGTTCTCAAAAAAAAAAAAAAAAAAAAAAAAAAAAAAAAAAAAAA